AAGCTAGGGAAAGTCTATGGAACAGATCATCAATTGCACAATGCAAGTTCAGGCTGAAGCTTAAGAATATATCAAAACATGTCCACAAAAGCTAAAATATGAACTTGAACATATCCCATTTGAATTTAGAGGTTAGTGGTTCAAACTCATCAGCACTCCTCAGAAACTCTATACAGGGTCACTATAAGTCGAACTGACTACATTATACTTAACAGCAACAACACTGGACAGAGTAAACTGTCCCATAGGGTTTCCAAGACTGTACATCTTTATGGAAGTAGACAGCCACATCTTTCTCCCAAGGAGGAGCTGGTGTGTTTGAAATTTGAAAGTACAGGTTTGCAACTGATAGTTTTAACCATGGTGCCACCAGAGATACTTGACCAAGGATATATGTATGAAATGCTCTACATCCACTGGCTGAATCCAGATCAAATCTATCCACCTTGGAAGGCCAATTCAATTCTACATTTACTATAAAACTGCAATCTCTTCGAAAAGATTTTCATAGGTAGAATCACTTGTCCCCTCATCATTCCTTTGGCAGACTTTAGGTTGCTATTGCAACATTGGTTTTCCTAACATTAGATTATTTATGCATGTATCTGCATCTTATTTCCTGGTGATAAACTCAGGTAGTCAGGGACCAGGTGCTTTGTGTCTTACTGCCTTCAGGTGCCTGATCATGAAGAAGATGCTCATAAACATTTGCTGAATATGAAATATATGCCTATAGAATAGATCCTGTGTGTTGTGATACATTGTGTCTAATACATTTGTATTTTAAATGTCCAATATAGTTACTTAATCCTTTATTAGGTAACTCAGGAAGTGTAGTGGGTTATGAGTTGGACTGCTAACCACAAGGTCAGCACTTTGAACATACCGGTTTCTCTGTGGGACAACGACGAGGCTTTCTGTTCCCATGAAGATTTATAGACTTGGAAACCCTATATAGAGTGGATATGAGTCAGAACTGATTCCATAGTACACAACCACTAACACCACCAATCCTCTGTCAGTCTTCCAATTTTTGAGTCATTAATGTTTAATGCTGCCAAGTCGATTCCAACTCATAGCAACTCTGTATAGGGTTTCTGAAGAGTGGCTGGTGGATTTGAACTGCTGACCTTGAAGTTCAAACAGACCTTGTGGTTGAGGATTTATCCTACAGTGTTTAGGATTATTTATAGGTTGGAGTCCTGGTGTGGAATTGTAGGATAAACACTGGACTGCTAGCCAAAAGGTTGGCTGTTCAAACTTACCAGTCACTGTGGTGGCTTGCACGTATCTACATGTATCCTAGGAAACCCTATAGAGGGTAGCTAGGGGTCAGAACCGACTTGATGGCACTTAACAACAACCATAGTCCTATAGGTTAATTACTTTATAAGGATTTATGTTAACTTTATATGAGATGTGAACTCCAATATGTGATTCAGTCAGTAAGAATAAGAAAAAGCACATTCTTCTTTCTCTCGCACGTTCTGATCTTCTTCTTGTTGCCCCCTATTGTCAGAACTTAATAAGGAACCTGCTGGTAAAGGAGAAATTCAGCCTGTTGACCCCAGCCCAGCATCAACATCGTAACATAGAACATGAAAGATTTCAGCTAAAAACAATAACCTACAGACTGGCACAAAGATAATGAAAATGAATGGCCCTTTTATATTGCATGGTCTATTCACTGGCATGTTAAATAACTTCTTTTTTTGTTTTAACCAAAAAGGTAAAGCATTTGTTTTAAAAGAAGAGTGAATGATGTACAAAATTGAGTTTCAGAGTTTTTCCTTAAATAAATTATTTTAAAATAAAAGAAGAAACCAGGAGCAAGGAAAGGATTCTGGAAAGCAAAATTAAATCCTAGGAGATCAGATTTCTCCTGTTTGGTGGCACAAGTGGTGTGAATTCCAGCATAAGTGCCATTCCAGAATGAAAATAGCTCCTATGCCAGCAAATTGGTGCTAAGTTTCTCTAATTAGAAAAGGACAAAAATGTTGGGTACAGTACTGACAGTGAAGTGTGTTAGTTTGCTAGATAAATCACTAACACTATTCTGTTGACTTCCAGACACAGGTTCAAGGTGGCCTCAGCTAGTAAACAGAGGTGGAAAACATATCCTCATACATTTGCTTCATGGTTGAATAACAAGTAATTTAGAAGAAGACATCTGGATACAAAATTTGAACAGTGCTCACAGCTCATCAAAATAGGGATTTGATGGCTTGGCGTCTGGCTGCTAAGCAACGTACTTCTTACATTCAAAACAGAGTTGTAAAAGTAGAATGCTGGTGCCAACTCTGGGTATTTCTTATTGCAAAAGAAATAGCCTGAAATGTTTCTTTAGGCCTTAAAATATTCAGTTTCCACATGATAGCTCAAAGAGCTCAGAGCATTACTTCTTAGCCTTATTGATTTTCATATTCCAAAATATAAGGCAGAGATTAACTTTGCATTTTGAAGTACAAGGGAATGCTGCATAAGGAACTTGGGAGTATTTTTCTCAAACCCCTTCCGCTCCCCTAATTAATACCACTTAAATTTGCTGCACATGTTCGGAGTACACATGCTTTTCACATATGTGGTTCTTATCAAGCTAGATGTATATAGCAGAAGGCCAACAACAAACTGAGTGAGATGTGCTTTACTAAAAGTATGCTTCTTCTTGACAAGCAGACAAGGGAAGGACAATGTAAAACAGTTTCCATGTATAGATTACTTAGAAAAAGATATGTTATTACAGGACTTAATAAAATTATAAAAAATTAAAACAGACTATATAAATTTATTTCTCCATTGCTTCTTTCTTTTTTAATCTATTCGAAATGTGACTAAACTTCAGAACTTGGAAAATATGAAATATTAACACCCCAAATGAAAATCAAATCCAGAAAAATAACATTAAACAGATCATTTAGAATCACTGATTATATTCCTTCTTTCCCCCTTGGGGGAAGCAATTAAGAAAATTATAAGGCAGGGCATAAGTAATAATGGGGTTTGTATTAATTAATATTTATTTTCAAATTATGTGCTATGCCTTTGTATTTAAATTTGAAAGAGAACTATTGAAATGACCCACTATTTCAAGCAATATCCCTACAGAAGTTTTTACTTTTTTCTAGCTTTAAAAGACTCTCCTTCCACTAACTCTCCTAAGCATTCTTGGCAACCTCCTCAATGTAGCAAAGCAAGGAAACCCAGGCAATGGAAAGTTGCTTTAAAAAATAAAGGACTTGAAAACCAAGTTAAGAAAGGAATAGTTTTATAAGAGAGCTTCATTTCATACAGAAGGCTACAAATGGAATGTTCTACTGTTTCACAAATCCTGGTGTGGTGCTGTGGGCTAATGTGCTGGACTGAAAAGTTGGTTTGAACTACAAGGTCACCGGTTCAAGCTCACCAGCTGCTCCTTGGAAACAGGGTTGTTATGGGTCAGAACTGACTCAGTGGCAATTCACAACAACAACTGTTTCAAAGACCAGCATTGTGCAGAGAAGTTTAAGGATGGTATCCAGAAGATCACTTAATTACAGGAAAGATTTTCCATTGTGCCTGCACTGCCTGGTTCTCCGGAAACCATTGCCCTCCAATGTCTTTGTTTACATGTGGTTCATAGTTATGGCCATCCCATGAACCACAAGTGTTTCTCTGCTCCAAATGTATCAATACTTTCCCTTCATACCAGGGGTGCTTTGGTAAAAAATAGAAGGATTTCTATATTGTGTGATTCTGAAGTTTCCTGCAATCCATCATTTAATTTCCCACCCTGCCGTTTCCTCCATTTTGTACCATGATTTTACAAAATATTTCAAACTTTGCAATTTTTCACCTTTTTATTTTTTTGGATGTATCTCAAATATTTTAGGAATGTGCATTCAAAGGTCAATTCTTACCACGCATGACTTTAGACTGCCAATCAGAGCAGAGTTGTGAAAACTGAAGTGCAGAACTATGATCAAGTCAGATTCAAAACCAACCCAGACTTTGTGACTGAATGTCACACTTACAAGGCTGTCTGATGATTGTGTAAAATAATGACTGGGTTCCCAGAGCCTCTGGGCTTATAAAGATCAATTTCATCCTTCCAGTTATCTTTCCTTAAAAATGAAAACTCTTAGGAAAACATTCCTTCCTTATGTAGTGACTCTGCCCAGATTCTTCTGCACTGGTGTTCAAAAACATGCTCATCCAAAAAACCAAGTATGCAAGCTGTTTCAGTGGTCTTCTGGTACATGCCTGTGGTGCACTGGTTGACTAAGCGAAGGCGTTGCTAAGGAACCTAAATTTGTTCCCTCAGTGTATTGGCTATATCAGGACCCAATGTTTCTTTCTGTTATCTGGGTCATAACACATTTGATGGCATCCAATAGGAAGAACAAAAACAACATACCATCTTTACATGCCCATAATCCTTCTTTCCCAGGAACTAAGGCCCATCAAGGTGGACCTGTAAGAACTCTGTCAGGAAGTCAGTTGAAAAAAAGAGTACTTTTGAAATTCTCCCCTTCCCTTCTATTTTGGAAGAGGTTTAACTAATAAGGCATGGACACTTTACAAAGGAGGTCATGGGATAAAACTGACTACAAGAATGAACCATTAAGTTCTTTCCAATAGGTGCTACAAAGTTACATTTCATTGGGAAGTAGCAGACCCATGATTCCAAATATCATCCTGCTTTCGTTTTTCCTCCATTTAATTATGTACACTTTTCTCAAGCATTCTGGTCATTTTTGTTTATGTTCACCTACCAACGCAACCATATTACAGAAAGGGTGACACGCTGCCTTATTGATGAACTGACTAATCAGATCTTATCATTTAAGATGGGGAATGCTACCCCACCCCTGTCACCCCCAAAGACAAGGGCTGGCTAGGTACCCTGATATAAATAGTTACGAAAATCCTTAGTGACAGGTAGTTTATGGAAAACACAAAGACACCAAGAAAACTGTCTCGTCCTTATTAAAGTCTGGTGCACACACCAAAACTGGACCTACCTCCCGAGTAAACAGAATGGCCGCATCATAATGTTCCTCATGGTCGTCCCCTAGCTGATTGTGCTGATGCTGCCACTTGCAAAAGTTCTTGAGAGTGGTGGCTGCGTTCTTGCTCACCTCCAGGGTCTTGTCCTGGTCTCCCAGTACCACCACCTTCACCACCGCAAGGCGGATATGGTTCTCTATGCTGGCATGGCTGTACAGACGGTTGGCGATGGACGCCAGGGTCATCAGATAATGCTGCAGTCCCCGGCCATACATCCGCGCCATGGACGCGTCAGCAACCAGAAGCAGCTCCACCTGGCGGGCCCGGGAGACGGAGCGTCGCCGTCGCCGCCACCACGTCTGCGGTCCTGTGTTCTCAGAGAGTGAGAGCGCGGACTTGTCCTGGATCTGCGGAAAAAGCGAAGCTCGCCGGCCTGACCTATTTCGAGTAGGAGCGAGCTCTCGGGCCGGAGGCGGAGACCCCAGGGTCTCGCAACTTGCGCGCGGCGGCAGCGCCTCGAAGCTAAAGCTCTCGCGAGTGTAGACGTGCAGGATCGGTGCAGATCCATCCCCGTACACACGCGCGGCGTCAGCCTCGGCCCAGGGCCAACGCAGTAGAGGCTTCAGTGTGTAGCGCGCGTGCTTGACCGCGAAGAAGCCGTCCAAACCCCCGCAGAGGTCAAAGACTGCCAGAGAGCGCGGACTGCCGTCCACCATACCCCGGTAGAAGCAATGGCCCCGGTGGCGCCGAGGTGTTCTCGATCCGCCTCCTGCGGGCACGAGGCCAGCTGTGCCCACCGAATCATCCTGCTCCAGGTCTAGAAGGAACCTCCGGCCGCCAACGTATACGAGATAGCCCACCTTGCCGCCGCCTGAGTAGAGCTGGTCAATATTCTGCACAAGTCCGCCGCTCCTGCGCTGTTGTGCCTCGGGGTGCGGGTGACCCAGAGACTCGGCCCGCTCCTGCTCTTCCTCCCCCCGTCGCCGGCGGTGCTGGGCGTCCGTTTCAGCGGCCAGAGCCTGCTGGACTTTATCCTGGGCAGGTGCCTCTGCGGGGCCAGCTGCTATCGGGGGCAGGCGGAGCGCACACAGGAGCAAACACGCCCATCCAAGCAGCATAGTGCGCTGCCCGTGGGTAGGGCTGTACGACAGGGACTTTATGAATATTCGTTATTTGCTATGGAAGTTACCGGGGAGGGGTGGATGGGTACACACACACACACACTTGCTTGTAAGGTTGAATCAAGTGTCTGATGGAAGGGGTTTGGGGTGCCAGTAGCGCTAGCCTCTGTGGGCAGCGATGCCAGCGTGCGAACTTTTCTTTGTTGGTTTGGAAAATGTTTGGATTCCTGCCCCGAAAAGAGTGGGTTAAAAGTAGAAAAGAAAAAAAAAAAAAAAAAAAAAAAAAAGAAAAAAAAAAAAAAAAAAAAAAAGCCGGGTGGTGGAGATTCAGTAAATAGGAGAAAGGAGGAAAACCCTCAACTTCGTCCCCAAGTACAACCGCAATGTACCAAAAAAAAAACAAGAAAGGTGCAGCACACCGGACCCGCAACTGGTGCCCACTGCCTCCTTCCCGCCCCTTCGCTTCTTTGGACCCGCGGACTGCAGAGATTCCAACTCCGGCACCCAATTCCTTTCTTATTTTGTGGGTTTCCTTGGCTTTGCTGGAACCAGGAAGAAGGGAAGAAAGACAGGGAAAAAAGCCATAAAATTTAAAACAAAAAGGCAGGGAATGTCCTGCGGCGAGCCGGTCAGGCGGCGCGGTTGTTTTCCTTCGGATGCAGTGTCTTCCAGCTCGCGGTCATCCCCAGTCGGCCGCTGCGAGCGCGGAGAGCAGCGCGAGCGCTGTGAAGATGCGAGGAGGTGGAACAATGAATTTATAGCGGCATGCCATCCTGCAATGGCAATTTCAACAATTCGTCACTGCACGCTGCCTCTTAAAGGGAGAGCATCCCCCAACACTCCCACCCTTCCCGGTCCGCGCCTAATCAGATGGGGGAGAACAGGGAGGGGGGTGGGATCGAGGAAACCGAGACCAAGAAGGAGGAAGGGATCCGGCGAGATGGAAGGCAGAACTAGGGAGGGAACAAGGGCGAAGGGGGGAAAGAGTGGGTAAGAAAAACAGAAGATTCCCTTGGCCTCTTTTAAAGTCACAGTGGCTCCGGGTCTGTCTGATATTTCACAACCAATTGGGGTTGGCTAACCTCGGCTTACCTCAGCTCCTGAAGGGATGTTTTGGTGTGTTTTTAAAGTTATTGAGACATTTCAAGTCTCTCCCTGCCTTCTCTGGCGAGCTTTGCTTTCTCTCGGTAGGAAGTTCCTACCGCAAGTTTTTTCCCTTTTCCATGCCTGAGCTCTCTGACCTCGCAAACGTTGGAACTCCAATACCCACTGGGATGGTCTTGTTGCTGGCGTGCGGCCCCTCGCCCCTCGCGCTCCTCTCTTCTGCAGCCAGCTGTCCCAGTACCCAGTTTGCTCCCTCTGCATTCCCAGTCTCTAAGAGCTTGTTGGGTTCAGGCTCCGGGTGACTAACTTCTCCCGGCCACCAGCAGAGGGGTTGGGCAGCCGAAGAACCCCGGACGCTTCCTGGCGCGTCGCTGCACCCTGGCGATGCGGTACCCCCCCCCCCCCCCCCCGGGCAAGGCCACCAACCGCCTGGGAATTCCGAGCCTTTGTGTGCTAAGGGCTGTCCACCCGCTTCCTTTAACTCATCTTTCATCAGCATCCACAATCTGCACTTATCCCAGCAGACTGAAACTTCCTATGCTTTAAAAAGGCAGGGCAGGAAAGAGTCAACTCTTGACAGGACTAGCGTTCAATTTTTTATTAAAAAAAAAAGTGTGCCCATGCTTTCTTTACGTCTTTCTGCTTAAATGACCCACATCTGTGTTTCTTTTCCCTAAAATAGCCAATTGTTGTCCTAAGCTCTGACCTAAGGTCACACTCAAACAGTTTAAGAGAAAAGGAATATTTGGGGGGAGGGGGACTGGTAAAGATTGACTCAGTACTCAGGTAACGTTGTCTCTGATAGTTGATTTCTCCCATCTCATTAATTTCTACTTTCTGTTCACTGCCTGATTGTTGTTGAGTGCAGTCTAGTCGTTTCCACACTTAGTGACCCTGCTGGGTTTCCAAGGAGCAGCTGGTGAGCTTGAACCGCCAACCCAGCGGTTCAAACTGACGTTGAAGTCCAGCTCATTAATCCACAGCGCCACACCAAGATTCCTCACTGCCTTAGTGGCTAGAAAGTCTACTGTAAGGTCAAGACCGATGCCCCCCACTTTAATAATTCTTCAGGAAAATTATTGAATGCACAGTAAATAAATGAATCCCATATAGTTAAGGTATTTCTGTTCTTTTCCTACTTTTGCTTAATTTTCCCACCAGCCACACCACGGGAGAAAGATGAGTCGAAATTGTCCCATCAACTCTTAACAACAAATACTGATTTGTTCCTTAGTATTCCAAGTAACAACTTTATCTGTGCATACTTATTGAAAAATTGCCACTGTCTTGGTGTGGCTCTGTGGGTTAAAATACGGGACTGCAAGATTGGTTTGAACTGCAAGATTTCTGTGGTTAAAAAATTCATTAGTGGTCCAACACTTCTGAAATCTGAATTTCCTGGCTCTTAATTTGGTGCTCGGAATCCTGGTGTGGCGCTGTGGGTTAATACACCAGACTGCAAAGCCATTTGAACTTCAAGGTTGGTGGTTCAAGCTCACCAGTTGTTCCTCAGAAATCCTATACAGAATGGACTCAACAGCACTTAACAACAACAACAAATTTGGTGCTCAATCAACAACACCAATAAAACTCTATCCAAATTAACAAATATATGTCGGAGTCTTCCTAAAAAGTACAGAGAGGTGCTTTGAGGGCATATAAAGATGAATAAGCCATGGTTCCACCACTCATCTGCGAGTTTGTTATACAAGTGAAGGCAGCTTGATGTTGGAACTGGAAGCTTGGATATTGGCTTGATATTGATTGGAAGCATTGCCATTGGTGTTTCCTATACAGTCAGGATTACTTATGGTGGATAGATTTCACCAGAGCTTCAGACTACAACAGAGTAGGAAGAAAAGCAGACTTCTGAAAATTAACCAATGAAAACTCAGTGGATCAAAAAAAATATTGTTGATACAGAGCTAAAAGACACACCCCTTAGATCTGAAGACACTATGCTCTGGTAGCGTAATGGTTACGAATCGGGCTGTGAACCGCAAAGTAAGCAGTTTGAAGCTATCACTGCTCCGGGGGAGAAAGATGAGGTTTTCTGCTCCCGTAAAGATTTACAGCCTCGGAAACCCTGTTCAGGGTCGCTATGGGTCGGAACCAACTCAACGGTACTTAACAACAACAACACAGTAGCCAACAACGGGCTCAAATATTTCCACAATCAAGAGTTGGTGCAGAATTAGGCAATTCTTTTATCCATATGGTCACAATGTGTTGAAGTCTGCTCTTGTGGTTAAGTGCCTTTGAGTCAATTATGATTCAAAGCTACCCAGAATAGGATTCAATGGCAAACAACAACAATGTCATGATTAATGTTTTCAAAGAGTTCAGACATGGAGTCGATTTGCCAATAGATATTTGGAATATAGGCTTCAAAGTACATTATAGAGGGAGAAATGCAAGGGAATAACTCCTGTAGATAATCTGAGATGTATTTTTCTAGCACAGCTATATTTCCAGTACACCATAGGATCTGAATTTTCTTGTAAAGAATATTTTCTTAAATTTCCATTTGCTAAAACACCACTTCTATTTTCCCTCCAAATCTATGCTTTTAATGCTAAAAGTAAGAAAAATATTTGACAGTAAAATATTCCCCTCTAGCCAAACACCGGCTCGTTACCTCCCATGTAGGAGAATCACAGACTTCCAACTCTGTATAACACTTTTCCTGTCCCACATCAAGATCCCCACCCTCAAGTTGGCTATATTTTGTGCTATCTTCATGCTCTTTCCTTCAGTAGCAGTATGCATTGATACCAGGGCTAGGATGTCCTCCATGACTGCTTACAGACAGACCATTTGTGGATGATATAAGAAATTTGGGTGAGGCTTTTCCTTCAAATTAGCTTTACAATTTCTAGTTCTTAGAAGTTTTCACCTCAAAAACAAAAGTTATTTTAGGAGTTGAGAAAATACTATATTTAGTATCCCAGCTTTGATATGACTCCTACATTTTTAGTGGTCAAATTATACCTTAACAGTCCTTTTCTTATTTTCCATACTTTGCCCTCTAGAATCCCTGAGTGGTGCAAGCAGTTAGCCTGTTAGGCTGTTAATCCAAGGATGGAGATCCAAGTCCATCAGCGGGACCTTGTAAGAAAGGCCTGGTAATCTACTTCTGAGAAATAAACAATTGAAAACTCTATAGAGAACAATTCTAATCTGATGCACATGGGGGTTGCCATGAGTCAGAATCAGTAGTCAATTGCAAGAGGAATCTGGAAATCACTTCCCATTCCATCTCCTATATCACAGAATAATGGAGTGCACATTTTAAAAATACTTAAAAAAATATATTACATTTGCCATTTCAACATTTTACATGTGTACATGCTGTGACACTAATTGTTTCAGTCATGTTGTGCAATCATGACCATCATCTATTACCAAATTATCCATAATCATAAAAAGAAACTCAATGCTTCTTAAACAATGATCTGCTCCTTTCCCCTCCCTCCTGTCTCTGGTAACCACTATAAAACTTTATATCAATATATTTGCCTATCCTAGGTGTTTCTAGGTATTCTAGGCTTTTCTAGTAAAGTATTAGGATGAAATGTGCAAAGACCTGGAGTTAGAAAACCAAAAGTGAAAAACACTCAGAATTTCTCAAGCTGAAAGAATTTAAGAAAAAATTCAAGCCTTGATTTGCAATATAGGAGAACTCTATAAGCAAAATATTTAACAATGCAGGAAGGATCATATATATATATATATATTTTTTTTTTTGTAAAATGACTGTATTCTTTATATATATGTATATGTATATATACATGTACATACATGTATATGTATATGTATATATATACATGTACATATGTATATGTATATATGTATATGTACATACATATACATATATACATATACATATATATATAAAGAATACAGACAGTCATTTTACCAAAAAGAATTGGTCAGTGTTCAACCATTTCAGGAGGTAACATATGATCAAGAAC